TTAAATAGAGAAAACATTTATTAACTTTGCTGCAAAAATTATATCGTGGGATAATTCAATAAATTTTACCTAATAAAATTGACACCACACAATCTTCCTACTATGTCAATAATGTATACACACATCAATCGATGTACCCTTATAATTTTATTGCGAGTAAAAAAAATATAATTTAATTAAAAAATAATTTTAAGTTAATTAACATTTAATTATTTTACTGCTTGTGAAACTTGTAAAAGGATGTAGAATGTTTGACACATGGCTATGGGGTTTATTATAAAGGCCGAACTCGGTGTCATTACTAACTACTAAAAGACGTTTCTCGTTATTTTTGTTTGGAACCTAGTGAGAATCTAACTTACTAACAATTGGTGCCTAGCTTGTTAATTATCACTCCACGGCTGCAACTCAAATCTAAATTAGATGTACTAAACTAACAGCAAATGAATAATGGGACAGCGGATAACCTTCTTGTATTAATTTTTGCTAAGGGTAGATGTGGAAACACCTGCAGTAGTAAAATCGTAAATGTTTTCTTTATAATTGCCCATGCAATAATTGTTCTTTCTTACTTGGCCTCATGAATAAGAGCTTTGCTTAAGTAAATGATGGTATTGTTCAATAACATATATTGTATAAAATTTATATTTTGTTCTGCCAAATGTTGCAACGAGACCAATATGCTGAACTGGCCAAATATATATATATTTTTTTGCTAGACTTTATCATTCACGAAAAGTTGTACTCATAGCGCCATTGACACTCGTACAGTTCCTCCCGTTGTGACACAAGAATACCATGCAGCTTGATGAGAAATTGGATACTAACTCTGTGTGTGTGTGTGTGTGTGTGTGTGTGTGTGTGTGTGTGTGTGTGTGTGTGTGTGTGTGTGTGTGTGAAAGATAGATGATGGGCTTTGTGATTTTATGGACATTCTGGAGAAGGAAGTTTGCTGTAAGTACATTATTGGCCCGATTAAATCCCTGAGTTGAAATGAAAAAAATTGGCCCCTCATTACAAGACAGAAATATGCTTGTTTCTCATTTACATGTTCGTAAAAAGATGCAATATGTATTTAATTTTCCGTTTGTATTACATATTTTACATTCTAGTTATGCCTTCATTTTTAGACATCATAAGGAATGAGATTATCTTGAAAGCAACTTTCCTTTAATCTCCATTTTTCCGCCTTAAAGAACAAATTTAATATTAAGAAAGCGGAATCATTTCTAGTTTACCGCGCTTGTAATCTCTTGTAGTTAATTGCAATTTCATTTATGATTCTTCCCAGTCATTTGACTGCCAAACTTGAAAACTAATTTAGTCAAAAGTTTAACAAAGCTATCATTGAAGATTGAAAAACAAACGTTATTTAATGTCATGATTGTAGACGTAGTCGAATAAGAGCAGAATATATAATCAGGTCACATGACGTATGTAGACGTATGACTATGCAACTTTAACGATGAAAACGTATTTTTAAAAAGCCACAATGATCAGCATCAGTTGTCAGCATAAGCAAGCGGATGTAGGAGTCTGATTGCATTCAAGTCCAGTCGCTCTTCCGTTTGCATCCACAGACAAAATGGTTTTAACTGAAGATGAAATTTCATGCCATTTCAGTTTCATACTTTCTTCATCCAATCTTTCGAATAATGTGAAAGACGGTTCAGGTTCGACAGTCTTACCAATTGAAAAGAAAATCAACAACTTCCAAATATTTTAGTAGTTTGGACAAGCTGCAAAATATTCAGACATTACTATTACACTCATTGACTGTTTCACAATTCTCTTTTTTTCGGACTCCCATTCACAACGGCGACAAAAATGCATATTATTACAAGAATGTTCAATTTTGTAGTGGAAATGAAGTTTTTTGTTCCCCACTTAGACTTGAGTATTTCTACAAAGTTTTATGCTTTCTTATAAGATAATCCTCGCCACAAAAATCAACATGAAACTTCGATGTACTGTCATATTGCTTTTTAATTATCTAAGAACTCTCTCAGCGATGAGTGGAATGTCAATATATGTTGATTTTTTCACCACATTTATTAGATGTTAATTCTGCTTCAATCTATTTCTTTTAGAATTAGCTAATCGTCAAATTACTTTACTACCCAAGGCAATGCCAGATATCGAAGCAAAAATGAAGAATATTTTTGTAGATTTTATTCCAAAATATATTTCCTCATCTTTACTTAACTTGAAAAGTCTTCTGTGTTATAATTTTTTTTAATGTTTGACAAGAAAAACCAAAAACCTGGCGCAACGGTGACAACTAAACTGACGATTAAACTCATTATTAATGGTAAAAATAGTTCGTTAACCATTACTCCACACTATAGTAGTTGTTACATTTACATATGCATTCTATAAACTAAATGTAACGCCTATTATGAGACACGGGTAGTAGTATATTTCATTAAAATTATCTTCAAATATTTGTAATCTGTTATAGAACTTCCATGATATAAAACTCCCAAAGGAAGTGAAATTGAGAAACTCTAGTAGATAAAAGAAGCTACTGCACTGTAGAATTATTGATGCGACGTTCTATGGGTTCAGTCCTCATTAGTGATTTCGTAAGAGCGTCATTTGGCCAGTTTAGTAAAAGATTTCAATTTATGTACCTGCCTACATAAATTGAAATCTTTTAATAAACTGGCTAAATTGTTCTCAATCGTAGATGAGAATTATACTAAGTATATAAACGTTCTTGATAGAGGAAACATTAGTACTTTCTTGTAAATAAGTAAAATGTTTCTTGTTTCAAAATTGGTGTTAAATTTTAACAAAACATTAGTCCAGTAATTACGTAGGCAAGAGAGGTCAAAGCTTCCTCCAACATTAAAATGCAACAAATGACATAATGTTAGTGTAGTCAAAATAGAGAATTTCCACGTGATGCAGACGGAGAAATGACAACATCATGCTCTTATCGTCAGCTAATGAGCAAGGCAAGTATCAGACATTACAATGTTTGCCAAAGATTCGTATTGGGTTCACTTTCATTGCATCCGATGAATTACCTTTCGTTACACGTTTGTCATATAAGAATTTACTTTCTGCGTAAAATGAAGACAGATGTCGACAATATTTTTCGAAAAGAAAGTTCAAAAGGTAGACATAGTACAAAGTTGTTTCTTCACACTGAATACGCGCTCTTTCACCTTCCTCCACATCCAAGAAGCGACACATGAGTTCCGACTATATTTCAGACAGCAACCTTGGCGCTTTGATCTATTGCAAGAGCATTTGAAGTTTCAATTTAATTCTTCAAAACGGTAAAATAAAAAATATAGCCTTTTTTTCTAAAAGAGGGAATAAATGAAACATCCAGTTACTGAGTTGGCACAGAATCCCTCTTGTACTAGATGTAAAAAAAAATGCCTCTTCCAAAGTGGCTTTGACATTTGACAAAGTCCGACTTGGATCTCATTGTATATTTTATGAAATTACGTTTCCAACACACACTTACGTAAGCACATTAACATAATCACACTACACACACACACGTGTGTGCGTGTGTGTGTGTGTGTGACTGATTCATGAGTGTGTACGTATATATGTATACAAAAAATCCAACTCCAACAAGGTCTATATATGATGGCATTTATGATATGCATTTGGATTAATATTACAATCGCAAACTAGTGTATTTCGATTTTATTTTAGAATGTGAGCACCACAGCTACTCACATACTGTGATCGTCTTAAATTCGATACTGCAAGGACGTGTACTTTCACAATTGGCAATAATTTACAGCTCTATGGAGAAATATAGGATCACACTCGCGAACACTATATATACATATATATATATATACACGTTTCATTAAATAATATATATATATATAAATAATATATATATACACACACACACACACATATATATATATATATACACATCTATATACGCATACATATATCGATATATGATACACAAACAACACATACACACTATTTTATATATATATATATATATATATATATATATTGTGTGTGTGTGAGAGCTATCTTATAAAATATATTAATGCATAGAATTATTTGAAGGTATAAATTTGCTAAGTCAGATGACCTTGTGTGAATGGGTGGCGGAACATAGTGGAAACCTTAGCAAAGAAAGAAACACTGCTAAGAGCCACAAGGGATAGGAAGTTGTGAAGAGCCATTATCGCCTATGTCACGAAGGGAGGCAGCAGAAGATGTATACGTTGCAATGAATAATTATTTCCATGTAATATGAGGTATGAAATTAGGGTTAAAATTATTCCTAGGTATTGGAATACATACATAGCTTTACATAGCTATGAAAACAAACAAATTTCAAGGGATGTATAGATTTGTTAACTTATAAATATTAAAATAATAATATTAATTTTACTTCATCTATAACAAAAATAATGACTTATGCGATAATCGGAGTAACTAGGTTTGATTAGAAGTTCATAGAAATATAAATAGTTATAAATTCACCAACAAAGGAAAATTCATCGATGGAATTAAACATTTAACAATTTTATATATATATATATATATATATATATATATATAATGCGTGTGTTAAAATCAATTTAAAACTTTACATATGCATACTTGTGTATGTGTGTGTGTGTGTGGTAAACAAACATATATACACAAACACTTCTATATGTATAATTATTTACAAAAGTTTCGATATTAAAAAAAATATGTTTGCAATTTCTTTCATTTTTTATCCAAAAGAGATCAACATTAATGCACACACTCATATATGCCATGAATTTTTCTTCATCTCACTGAAGTTCTTTGTTTTTCTTTTCAGAAATAAATATATATACAAATATAGATCATTTTTTAATAGATTTTCATTCACGGGGAGATTTACTTCTTTTTTTTTTTTCATTAGCTATTTCAGAAGTTATCCCATCAATAACCTCCTCCGAAATGTTTCAGATTTCTTCTGAAATAAAAGCAAATATATTTTTAGCTGTTTATCAACAAGACTGATGATCACTTCACCTTGACACCGATCGTTGCATTACAATATAGTCCGTCGTCTTAGTTTTCGCTCGTTTCAATGTCTTAATGAACGGGCAACATATCGTCAAGCCCTCCATGTAAACTCGACGGAAGTCTCGCATAAATAACGGGTATATAATCGGGTTGACCAGACTGTTGCAATAACCTAACCAAACAGTGGCTGAGAACAGTTTTGGGTGTATACATCTACAAACTGCCTCAACAATGTTAAAAATTAGGAATGGAGCCCACGTTGCCACGTAGGCCCCAACAATAATACCAAGGGTGACGGTAGCTTTTCGAGTGAACGGTTCCCGTATATGTTTCGAAGCGACTTTTTGACCAAGTAAGACATTAGTTGGCGCTATAAGAGTACCGAGAATACAAGACTGTCTTTTGGCTTCTTTAGAAACCCGATAATACAGAACAAAGGCGACAACAATAGGTAAAAATATTGTTACCATAGAGACGGACAATGCAAATGGCATGCTAACAATGAAGAGGCACTTTGGTCTTTGACTATACAGAGTAAGATTTTCCAGGGAAGGGACGTCTGGGTTGTGGTATCCGGTTTCGATTGGAACGAAAGAGCTTATTATCGATAGACACCAGCACATAAGAAGCAGGATGATAGCTCGCCGGTTGGTCATTATGGTGTTGTAACGAAGTGGCCGCATGATGACGAGGTAACGATCCAGACTAATAAGACATACATTGAGGATTGAGGCACTGCACAACATTACGTCAAAAGAGGCCCAGATAGAGCAAAATGTCTTTGAAAAGAGCCATTCATCAAATATCTCATTTAACATGGCGGGGATCATAACTACTGTGCCAACCAAGAAATCAGCCACACTTAAAGACATTATGAACATATTAGATACAGTGCGTAAATTCTTGCGAAGCGAAACAGCAACGAATACAAGAACGTTCCCGATAACAGTGGCTAGTACTAGCAGACTGAGAATGGCACCAATAACAATTTTCGGGGGCTGCACACCTAAAATAGGGGCTAGTTGCGGGGGTAGATCCTCCTCTTCAGCTAGCGGTGCGCTTTCCGATGTCAGTAACCCCTGCAGGCCTTGTAACGGTATATTGGTTGACCCATTCATGGGTCAACACAAAAGTTCACTTTTTTTCAGCTAACCATAAAAACTGATTCCTTCTTATTGGCGAACCGTTTATATTGAAATTCTGACGTTTAAAGAAATGTTCACGTGACACGGCTAAAACTTCATTTCGGTGGTAAAGTGTGCCTTGAAATACTAGGCAGTCACTAATGAATGCAATGTTGGGGCTTCAGTTTTAAACAATCATCTTAGTAGAGAGCAAAATGTCTCTATTTATATGTGAGTATCCAAGGATGTTTAAAACAGTTAAATACGTGGATAAACTGCACATATATAAATATGTAAAATCTATTAAAACCACAAATAAAATTTTTCTGAATGTGCCCGAGTTTCCCCTTTTTAAAATAAAATATCTTTTAATCGTATGTTCCGTATTTTTCTGGAATTTCTAGATTCGTGCTTGGGATTCGACGTCAAATTCGAAATTGAATTAATTCTTAATACAATCAAAGCGTTTCAAATATCAATTCTCTTGAAAACATCATTCATATAATACATTCTTGCTTTCGTTAATGCATTGTTTAAAAAGACTTCTACTGAGTCATTACGGAGAATCTTTTGGATTTCGACTTTGAATCAAACAACGCGATCCTAACATTAATTTTAAAATTATATCAATATCAATAATATTAAATGCTATTGTAAACACCATTTTTATTTAATTCCGATTTATAATTATCCAAAACTTGTAAGAAGAAATCAAGAAATTATTATACGTCATTAATAAAACTATATAAAAACGTTTTTCTATCGGTTACAGCATTAAGTAAGATAAACTTATTAACTGCAAGCAGCGTGGCTACAATTATAATGTAATTAACACAACTAAAATGGCGACCCCGAAATGGAGCTATATGTGGATGAATGTTAGAAATATGTAAATAAATACCATTCATGTTAACAAAGAAACTATTCTTAAATAATAATTTTTAATAATTCTTAAACAAAAACAAACGCATCTATTTTTCATAAAGAAAAGAATTATTAAAACTACTTTAAAAGTGAATAATTTTGATTCTTCTATTCAGGCTGTCAATCAGAAAACGTTTAAAGAAATGAACAGAAGCATTTTCAGAATGTGACTTAATTCATTTTCTATATCTTATCAATTAATGAACAGAGATGCTAAAATGAATGGCAAAATATTTTACGGATGTAAGTTACAAAAAAAAATTAAATTATTTTCTTGAAATAAGAAATAAATAAAAAGAATATTAACGTAGAAATAGTTAAATAGTTTATAAAAACATTTCATCTTCTGTGGTTGCGTGATCTTTGTTTATAGTATTTATAAGATCACAGCTGATACCGTCAATGAAGATGATAATTGCTATTATCTATAAAATATTCTAATTTTTAATCGTTTTGCTTTTCTAATTCACTTTTTAAGCCTTCGTTGGAAAGAATCAGTTTTAAGAATTTTTCTGTTCTTCTTATGCAAAACAACTTGTGTGAGTTTGTGTTTACATGAGCGTGTGTTTATTATATGTGCTTTCCTGTGCGTGTGTGTGTATGTAAGTACTAATGTGTATGCGTTGGTGTGTGTATATATGGGTCAGCTTACATCAATAGAAAATTCTAACAAAAAGCAACCTTTGTTATTTTTAAGAATAATTTAAAACAACTCTAAAAACTTATAACATGTTGTCAAAAACGGTACAGCAAACAACAGAATATCAATCAGTGAATTAGAATAGCGCTTCTCAATTTACTCTCTACAAAAATCACTTGAATATATTTATGCTTTCATCCTTTCCTTTCCAAATGAATCGAAGGTTGAGTTTTTTTTCTTTTTGTTTTCTGAATAAGTAGAAATCGGGGATATTGTAGCCATATAAGAGAATCGACTTCACTCTTAATATCTCGACATTAATATTGTGTCTAAAAGATCTCCATAACTGTCACCAATGTCAATATGGCTCGTAGTATATCGGTTATAAATCGATTTCTATTTTGAAACAAAAAAATATTCAGTTTCATGCAGATTACACCTTTTACAAAACAAACGTACTGATTTTCGCATCAAACACAGAAGACTTTCTAACGTTGAAACAAAAATATACTGTTTTTCTTTTATATGCCTTCATGTTGTTCTGATTATCAAAATTTGTGTCTTTATTTGGATTGAGAGATATAAGAACGATATTTTTTATAATCAGCATTCTCCTTATGTGACAAAACCAAAGCTTTTCGTAATGATTAATATAAAACGACAGTAAAGCGATTTCTTCTATTTAAAGAGATAAAATCAATTTAAATGTTTTAGTATGCTTTCATTAATCAAAATGTCCATTCTGTCTGACTAATTTAAGTCCATATTAAATCTTAGTTTGAAAAATATTTGTTCTCGTTCCAAACTGATTAAAATAAGTCCTTTATATTGTTTGCCTTCACAAAAGGCGAATATTTAAATATATCAATAAATGAACTGTTTTCTAAACAACTTGTAGATTCATTTCGGATATTTCGAAAAAATAATTACTTTAGATTTCCGTTGGTGTTTATCAAGTTCTTGAAATTAATGAAAGATTTCTTTTTCTCAGGGCAAAAGGAAATAGAGAACTCAAATTTCATTGAATTCATTCTTTGTTTTCTTGTTCTCACGAGTTTCTTTGACTGGTATTTTCCATTTTTTTCTTTTAATAGAAGTGTTTCATCAAAAATTTACATTCATTCACAGAAAATGCAAAAAATAAAACTTTCAGTTTTCTTCATATTTCAACCAACTCTATATGAACAAATATTGACTCTTTTTGTTCTTCAGCGTTTTTTAATGAATTTCAAAATGTTATTAAATCGTTTTTGCCTTACTTCAATAAACTCACTCAAAAATACTGCAACAGAATAAAACCATAAATGGTATTCCACACGAAAACAAGTCACAATATTTCTTTTCTCCGTACATGTGTCTACCAAAAGTTTAAAACACTTGCTGTTTAAGCGACTTTTCTTTCATGCACAGATTGCAATCTAGGTTTATATCGTCGTGAATTATGAATTTTCTACGAGAAATTCAAGTCTTTTTGGTCGATTGCCTGACGTGCAAATCGTTTATTTAATCCGACGCCTCATTATTAGCTTTATCATCGAAAAGTTTTCTGGATTAGCCTTCCACTGTTGTGATGAATCGGGACTTTTTAGTGAAGGACGGACAAACTGCACAGATTGAAATCCTTTTACACTTCGTCTTGGAATTCTAACCTTTTTCTCGGTATAATACGCATATACATATATGTAAATTTTCTAAAGAATCTGTGTTATCTAATTGTCTAATGTACTTGGGATATTATTCATTTATTATATATAAATTCCTATATGTTATCATTAATTAGTTTACTCATGTCATGCATTCAACAAAGGTAACGGCACAGCCACGCAGCAATTGACAAGATTAAAAGTGAAAAGTAATATCTCCCGAAAATGTTTTATCAGCTATTTTTCTTTTACAGACTTTACACAAATATTGCATTGTATCCTTTTTCTATTGCTTCGAAATGAGTTTACATTGATCAACAATTGAGCTTGATTTCTTCTTCCTGAGATGTAATTTTGTTTTAATTTAGTTCGTATGAGAAGCCGCATCTGGGGTCATTGAGTCTACTGATTCCAGATTCCTTTTTTGTTATTTTTAAACAATTATTAAAACCACATTTATTTGGTTTTGTGAAATATTCCCAAAAAGCCATTTCTTGTGGAAAATTCTTATCCTATCACCCGCAGGCTATTACCACTTTACTTCTCAGTAGAGTGTAAATTGTTGAACAGTTAAATCTTGGTGCATTTATTCACCAAAGATAAATCAAAGGAAAATTATCCAATAATTATCTCCCTTTATAAAACAGCATTAAGTATTATTCCGATTTTTCTGTTAGATTTTTCTCTGAAAAGAATTCATGGATGATGCGATAAAGAAATTATTATATCTAAAAAAAAAAAAAACCTTTGCAATTTATATTTCTTGCCGCCGTTTGAATATTCCTACTGATGAAGAAATTACATAAAAACGGAAAAAGACGCAAAATTTTAATTATTTCGCTTCTGTTGGCGCCATTAATTTTAGATATAAAATCCTTTCAGCTACAATCCTGGTAATCATGGATTGTGTTATGGCTACTATTCCGACTGTTTTCATTCTCGTCAGTGATTCTGGCCTCTTATGAAATAAACTAATGATTCATTGGAAATTTTAAGCATTTTGATGATGCTATTTTTTTAAATTAAAATCCGACACCTGGTAATCCAAATTGATTGTTTTTGTGCATACAACTCACATTTCATTCTTTCTATGAGTTTTTGTCTTCTTTGGATGTTCCTTCTGCTCGATTTGATGATAAATCAATTCCATCGAAAAAGAATAATCTTCGAAAATTTTATCTGAAAATAAAGAAAAAAGACAAGGCTGTAAGAACAATGATCGAAATCTGAGAAAAACAGAGTTCATTCAGAACATTCCACAATTAGAGAAACAGTTTAAAAAATGGTAGTAGTAGTAGTAGTAGTAACTATTTGTAAATTGTTCAAATTAGAAAACAGTGGGACAGCACTAAAATAACCGAAGCTTGTTTGTATGTGTATATGTTCTTTTCCAAAGTATAAAGAAAAAATTGTAAAATAACTTTTATCTTGATATTTTGCAGTAAATAATCTTTACATTTTTACAACTACATTTCCAACTAAAACAGGAAAGCGAAAGATGAACCTTTCTTCCAATGGAAATCGTCTTATTTGCGTGGATTTTTTATTTAACATTATTTACAGTGGATGGAATATTTCTTAACCGACTGCTAAACTTTTTTCCTAATAGTCTACATACAAACTGAAATCTAAGCTCCGAGACAGGCGAATCTAGCAATGGTCTACTTTAAAGAAATGCTATCGTTTCATCAATCCTTAAATATGGGCAGCGTGAATGTGACCTTTTAGTCCTGCGAGGATCTTACTTTGACTTGCGCAGATGTGGTAACGTTGATTGTCTGTTGTAA